CTTTCTCATTTGCTTTTGCTATCTGCCTTGCAGGGCAATCTTGTCAACTTGGAGAAAATACAGAAGGTAAGCAGCTGTGTCCTGCACTTCCAGGAGGGTGGGAAGGCAGAATTCAGACACCTCCTGGGCTGGGCGCTCCTTGGCTTCACCCACTGCATTGTGCTTTCTTAGGAGGGTTTTGTACACACAGAAAGATGAAAACCATCCCGATGGAGTGTGTGCACAGGAGACTGGACACGACACATGGACAACTGCCTGGACACGGGGCAGTTTCGGCCCACGCCTGAGAACAGCTTAGGGCTTGGGTGGGATTGAGAGGATGAGGGGACAATTAAGGGAAAGCCCTGCAGACCAGCCCTGAACTCTTCCCTCCTTGCTCACGGCCCTCAGCCCATGTCCAGTGCCAGCCCTCTCAGAAGCCGTCTGTTCCTCTTGCCCCAGGAAGCCAAAATTCTTCAGGAGATGCAGCTCTTCCAGGTGGCAGCGAGGAAATATAATTTTCAATGTGAGGAAAATGTTGAGGTCTGGTTCCACTCGAGGGAGTGGCTCAGTGAGAATGAGGGGTGAGGCCAGGCAGGACTCGTGTGAAAGCCCAGGGTTGGGGGGCTCTCCCTGGCTGCCCGCTGCGGAGAGCCTGTGGCCACGGCTCCAGCGTCAGCCACAGACCCTGCTGCAAGGCAGCTGCAGAGGCAGCGGGACTCGGGCTGCTGGGCGGGCCCTGGGAGGGAGACTCCAGGTGGGGCTCTCAGTGGACTCAGAGATTCCTCTCTGTCCTGCAGCTACAACCTGTCCTGCCTTCTGGAGCCCCGAGCCCAGCAGGACAGCAGCACTCTCAGGCACAGGAAGACTTCGTCCTAAGTCTCAGGAACCCCTGAAGGCCCGTGCCATCAGGGCCAGACAGGCTCGGCACTCAGTGAAGCCTGGGCTCTGAGCTCCCGACAGAGCTGGCTCTCATGTCCAGCTCCACTCTGACCAGCCTGGGATCAGGGTGGGGCGTCTCACCACTGTTCCTCAAGGCCCCATCGTTACCAATATGATTTGCCCTTCCAATGCCTTTTTCTTTTTTACATATCTTTAATTACTCGGTGCTTCTCTTGTTTCTCAGTGTTTTTATTCAAATTAATATAGATAAGTTATACATTGTGTTTTCCACTTTTTGTGATTTTTTTTTTTCACGTTAGGCCATTTAGTCTATAGGTCACTATAGGTCACTAGAGATCATTCCTTATGAATGTGTTTCATTTTTGGCTATTAAATTTGATACTCTATCTATCTATCTGTCCCTCCATCTATACCACGGTCATGAAATATCTTCACAGCTTGAGGCCATTATAAACCCTCCGTTGAAGCCAGGTATGTGAGCATCCTGCTCTTTTCCTTTGGGAGGTTTACCGGACCACATGTGGTGTCTGTCTATCTCTTCTACACTTTCTTGCATGGGTTTTAGAATCCATGCCGGGGATTTAGCTCAGTGGTTACACCACCTGCATGGCAAGCGAAAGGACCCGAGTTCGATCCCCGGTACCCGGAACCAAAAAGGAAAAAAGAATCCAGTCTCCAGCCCTCTAGTGCTACAGTGTCACCCTCTCTTTGCACTGTTCCCATATTCATGATGTTTCAGCACCGCAGATCAGTTAAATCCTCAAAGAACACATCCCAAGCTTCCACCGCCCCAGGGTATCACCAGAGAAAAGGCAAAAATGTTCATTGTGTACGCTAGGTCAAACCCTTCTCCCACTCTTTCAAAATTGGATGGAAGAAAGTATTTCCAAATTTACTTTAGAGGCACACTGTACCCTGGTACCTAAGCCAGACTAGGATGTACAGGAATATTGTAAGCCAGCATCCCTCATAAACATATATACAGAAATTCTAAACATAATTCTAGCAAGCTAAACTCGGCAGTATATTGCCAGGGCCATTTATATGATCATGTGGAGTTTATCTTTGTGATGTCATGATGTCTGAACACATTCAAGTCAGGAAATGTGGTGCCGCACAATAACAGAATAAAGGGGCAAACACCTAAACGGTCACCTCACCTGACACAGAAGGAATGTGTGCTAACATTATGCATCTTTTTATGATAAATGCTCTAAGCAAATCGAGTACAGAAATGTAAGACAACACAATAGAGGTCATTATCACAAGCCCACAGCTGTCATCACCCTCACTGGTGAAAAGCTGAAAGCCTTTCAGGTGGTAAACAAGACAAGGATAGTCCCCCTCAATACTGCTTCACAACACAGTGCTAGAAATGGGAGGCAGAGCAATGAGGCAAGAAAAAGAAATAAAAGCCCTCCAGACAGAAAACTGCAGAAGAGAAGTTGTCACTCTTTAGACAGGATCAAAAGCTGTTCTAACAAATTCAGTAAAGTTGCTGGACACAAACCAACATACAAAGTCACACAGGCAATGCACAAAAGAAATCAAGAGAACAATCTCTTTTATGAGCCACAAAAAAAAGAAAATAGAAACTTGTCTCTTTTGGGGGTTTTTTTGGGGGGGGGGGGTACTGGGAATTGAACTAGCGACCTTGCCCTTGTCAGGCAGGTGGCAGAAGCAATGGACTAAATCTCTTTTATGAGCCACAAAAAAAAGAAAATAGAAACTTGTCTCTTTTGGGGGTTTTTTTTGGGGGGGGGGGTACTGGGAATTGAACTAGCGACCTTGCCCTTGTCAGGCAGGTGGCAGAAGCAATGGACTAAATCCCGGCCCCTAGTCATCTCTTTTTCAGAAGGACTTACCCTGGTTTCGGGAGCCACTGTGGCTTCAGGATGTGGAAAGACCTCTCAGTGCCATGCACAGGACAACCATGGTGGCAG